CTGCTTAGAGAGGGCTGAAAGCCTTATGAAGCGGTATATAAGTCTAACTGCTATTGCTAGTTATCAGCTGCCTTCAGAGTCAGACATCGGTGAGGCAGAAGAATAGCTGGAGCCTGTCCCCAGTGTGCGCATGCGCAGAGTTGTCAGACGAAGGGAGCAGCTAAAGGAACAAGGGTTGACTTGGGAGTAAAGCCACAGGTGGATGGTGAATGACCCCTCCCAGAAGAAATAAAAGAGGAGTGAAAGGGGAGTGGAGTTTGCAGGAGACAATTAGTTCGCTTAATTGGTTCGTGACTCTCCGAGACTCCTTGCCAAGTTCTGCAGATATCTGCCTGTCAGCTCTCCAAGCCAGATACGGTCTGTGACTGTAAATCCTCCTTTGAAAGATTTTGTTGGATGTGAATGAACAGAATTCACAGTAAATTAATAAAAGCGTTTTTTGTCGGGACAAGGAGTTTGTTTCATGCTCTTTGGAAACCTCGGTCAGAACAGTAATTTGGTAATGGTGTTGTTTGCAGAAGGCCTAAAAACAAAGCCTCATTCCAGAAGCGGCTTTAGCAACGGATGTCAATTGCATCGGGCGCTCAAAAACATTTAGGAACAACACTGCACGGAACACTGAGTGTGCATTCATAATTAGGATCTTACTTTTATTTTGACTTGGCTCAGAACCCAAAGCTGTCGACACAAGGTTCAAATGCAAAGACAGTCCTGACAGCCGAAGCCTGACAGCACACCGCAGACTTGAAGAGAAGCTCACAACGAGCTGAGTGAATAAGCTGTGACAGAGCAATTATCGTAGATCGTTCTAGCTTTCCCTCTAATATTTGGGACAGGTGATCCATGGCTACACATTCCAGGCATGTATTTTATTTCTGCCCATTCATTGCAAGGGTTGAGAGGAAGGGAAGTGGGCTGAATAAATGTTCTTTATTCTGTAGCAGACAAATCCATGCTCTCCCACACATTTCTTAGGAAATGAGTCACAAATATTTCTGCCTTAGTCTCTACCTCAGACTGGCGGAACGAGGAGCAACTTCAAGTCTGAGCAAAGCCAACACAGGGGAGATAGCGAGACACGTTTATAAGCTGTGAAAAAGTTGGGAAATATAACACATTTGTCTGTGAAGTGGTAGAATCTTCTGCCTGGAGTTCTGAAAGAAATTCATACAATTTCTGTGGCAGGCCACAAACCAGTCTAGTACTGTAAATTATAGACCTGTGATGGTGAACCTATGGCACGCATGCCACAGGTGGCACGTGGAGCCATTTGATAGGGCACGCAAGGCATGTACGCACTGACCAGCTGACTTCAGCCTTCATTTTCTGCCGTTTTTCTCCCTCCTGAGGGAGAAAAACAGCCCTATGGGCACCCCAGAATTTTGGGAAGAGACTACTGGATTGCCCATAGGGCCGTTTTTCAACCCCCGGAGGCTTCAACAAAGCCTCCTGATGGCCTCCGGGGGGGGGGAGGCCATTTTTGCCCCCCCCCCAGGCTCCTAGAAGGCCTCTGGAGCCTGGGGAGTGTGAAAAATTGGTCCATTACGTGCAAAAAGTGGGTGTTGTGCATGCATGCGTGGGAGGTTGTGTGTGCATGCGCAGGGGTCACACGTGCATGCATGGGGGTTGCGTGTGCATGTGGGGGGTCATGTGCATAGAATTATGTTTGTGGGCACACTCACGCATGACCCCACCTGCACACGACCCCCCGAAAAAGATTAGCCGTCTCTGTTATAGACTATATCAGTTGAGTATATTTCTTTGCTATATGTATATTCAATCTTTCTTCCAGCAGCTTCCAGCAACATACAGATAGTCCTCAACTTATAAACATTATTTTAGTGACCGTTCAAAGTTACAACGGCACTAAAAATAGTGACTTATGGCAATTTTTCACACTTACGACTGTTGCAACATCCACCTTCTTTTGAGAGGGGAATCATCTTTCTTTAAGATAAATATCTAAGTACCTTTTTTCGAAGAGTTTGTTACTTATATAGGTAAAAGTTCCCCTCACACCTATGTGCTAGTCGTTCCCAATTCTACGGGGCAGTGCTCATCTCCGTTTCAAAGCCGAAGAGCCAGCGCTATCCGAAGACGTCTCCGTGGCTGGCATGACTAAATGCTGAAGGCACACGGAACACTGTTACCTTCCCACCAAATGTGGTTCCTACTTTCCTATTTGCATTTTTACATGCTTTCGAACTGCTAGGTTGGCAGAAGCTGGGACAAGTAACGGGAGCTCACTCTGTTACGCGGCCCTAGGGATACGAACCACTGAACTGCTGAACATTTCTGATCAACAAGCTCAGAGTCTTATCCACTGAGCCACTGCATCCCTTGTTATTTATATAAAGGCATTCAATTATGAACCATACCAGTAGATCAGGAGACAAACTGTTAGCATGTTAACTCTTTTCTTTTCTTTTCTTTTCTTTTACCTTGATCTTTGTCCTGGTTTTTGACTTGATGAAGAGGTATCATCTATTCTTAAGGAAGAGCTAGTGGATTCATCTTTGAGAGCTTCATACCTCCTCGCTGGCACTTAAAGAAGAAACAAGAAAATTCATGATTTAAGGCTGGATGAGGATATTTTATTGGCACATAAAATATTCACTGATGAAAAAAAGTTACTTTTGAAGAAACCACACACATATTTATGTCCACAATGGCTAGATTTTAAAAAAATCTTCTGGTGACCAATGTTTCTTAGAAATATTAGCAATAGCAATCGCACTTAGACTTATATACTGCTTCACAGTGCTTTCCAGCCCTCTCTAAGGGGTTTGCGGAGTCAGCCTATTGCCCCCAACAATTTGGGTCCTCATTTTACCCACCTCGGAAGGATGGAAGGCTGAGTCAACCTTGAGCCTGGTGAGATTCAATCTGCCAAATTTCTGGCAGCTGCTGATCAGCAGAAGTAGCCTGCAGTACTGCTGCACTCTAACCACTGTGCCACCATGACTCCTAAAAATATTGCATCTTTTTCCACAGAAACGTAAACTTTATTAACCAAGAAACATTGAAATATGGGCACTTCTGGATGGGACACTGTTTATCTCAAGAAGCAAAAAAAAAAAAAAAAAAAAAAATTCTAGGCAAAGTGTAGTAAGGAAATAAAGTTATATCTTTTGTTACATCTTACAGATGTCTGCAGCAGATTTACAAGAATTTTGTTCAATAATAGTAACCAGCAGAGATTGGGAACGTGGCACTCATGCCCATCAAAATACCCATAGATACCTTTTTGGGGGGCACCAGTAACTTTTGTGTTTTCGTAATTTTTATTTTATTCAGTTTCTTTTAATTAAAGGGGAAGATAGGGAAATGGTCATGCTTCAAAAGGCGAGCTTCCTGAATCATATTCATTTTCAACAAATATTGTGAGGATCCATACTATAGAATGTGCACCCAATGTTTCATTTGAAATTATGTCTATCTATTCAAAATGGAGGGTTACGGTGGCTCAATGGCTAAGATGCTAAGCTTGTCGATCAGAAGGTTGGCAGTTCAGCGGTTCGAATCCCTAGCGCCCCTTAATGGAGTGAGCTCCTGTTACTTGTCCAAGCTTCTGCCAACCTAGCAGTTCGAAAGCACGTAAAAATACAAGTAGAAAAATAGGGATCATTTTGGTGGGAAGGTAACAGTGTTTCATGCATCTTTGGCATTTAGTTACGCCAGCCACATAACCACAGAGACATCTCACGCGCACACACACACATATACACTGCATTTTTCGGAGTATAAGACGCACTGGAGTATAAGATGCAACAAGGTTTTGAAGTGGCAAATTAAAAAAAAAAGTTTTTGCACTCTGCAAACCTCCCAAAAACGATCCGTTTTTTGTGAAAACGAGCCTGTTTATTTGTTTTTGTTTTTGTTTTCAAAAAAAGGGCATGAATAGGCTTTAGGAGGCTTGTAGACTGCTCCTGGGGTGGGGCCAAAGACAAGCAAAAAATGGGCTGTTTTTCGCTTATTTCTGCCCTCCCCAGCCCCAGGAGCTCTCTAAAAGCCTTCTAAAAGCTATGCATGGCCATTTTGGTGAAGGGGGCAGGGTTTCGGGAGATAAAATATGCTGTTTTTAGTATATAAGACACACCCAGATTGGTGTGTGTGTGTGTTTATAAAAAATAAATTAAGACTAGTAGATGGAAATTTAGGATTAGGTAATTTAATTGTATTATTAACATTAATATGTGTTAAAATATATTGTGAATTTAAAATATTAAGGACTGGAAATTGGGGAGATTTTGAGATACAGTCCGAGATTGATTAAATATTGTTAATACGGCGTTATTACTAATCCTACACATTTGGAACATTGAAGTTATGATGGAATAATGAGCAATTCTTAAAATATTAAATAATAGCATTTAGTAGGGGATAACAAATACAAGACATAGAGAAATGTTATTTATGTCTAAATGAATCAATGGGAAAATGATAAAGGATTCTAAAAGGAGAATAGCATTGTTGAAGTTGGAAGATTAGGATCACACATATTTGTATCATTATTGTTAATGTTATTTTTTTAAAAATTGACCCAGTCAATACACTGTCCACAAAATATGTACAGTGTGAAAACTGCAAATAAAACTTTTTTTTTAAAAAAAAAAAACCTGGCGGCCCGTGGGCTGGATGCGTTATGCACTGGCCACACCCATCCCTGATTTAGCGAAGGAGAAAAAAGTGATGAGATGTCACGTGATGACAACATGTCGCGAGTTTGACACCCCTGCTCTATATAATGCTACAGCTTTAGGACATAAAACATCCTCCTCCAGTAGATGTGAGTAAGATCACCTGGAAAAGCCTTTTCAATGCCAGAACATGAGGGGAAAATTGCCTAGCAAATTCACTTTCATCTCGGACATTTATAGGATCAGTCAATTTAAGGACCAGATTATATTTTAGATTTCCTGCTGACATATTTTTTTCAATTACACAGTTGTATTTCTTTGTACTACTGTTGATTTTATCTACTGACGATTTAATTTAGCCCTACTTGTACGGCATTCTTATAAATTGCTCTGAGCTTGTGCAGAAGAAATGGCAGTATAAAAATAAAATAATAACAATGAAGCCTCACGTTCGCGTTATCATTCAATCTACTGCTAACCTCAGGCTCCCAAAAATATTAAGCATGGCTTGAGAAAGACGAAATAACTATTTTAATTTTCTTTTTTCTGCCTGAGTTAGTACTATCTATATGCATCCATTCTTAAGCAGCAACCATGGAAAACCACTTTTAGAGATGGGAAAAAAATATTGTCAGTATCACCAATGAAAATGGAGCATCATTTCTAGTACAGATAGAGTCCACTAACTGAAGGCCAATTACTGCATAATTCTTACCTTGTCTAAAATCTGTCTCGGAAGAAATGAATGATGGACCCTCACTGTCAGTGCTGCATACATCACTATGGTAAGATTTATATTTCCGTACGTGCTCTGAAAGAAACAGAAGAGAACAAAGCTTATCCAGAGTTTAATGCAGTCACCGATTTCCTCCACAATACGAATGCATAATTTTTTTTTCCTGGTAGGTAGAGGGTTGCATTGTACATCCCATTATTAGTGGTGCTGAAAGCTGTTTCTGGACTCCATGGGTTATAATATTCTATTCAAAATGAAAATATTTCCCAATGACTTTTTCACAAACGATGCTTGCATTTCACTAGATATGTTTTGGATGAAAAGGCTACCCAGTTAAACAAAAAGGAAACTAAGAGGGAACTTGGCCCAAATTGGTGTCATGCTAACATTTGCATTGTAAATGCAAATCATGATTTCAGTCACGTCTTTGGTGGAAGTTTTGATATTGTTTTTTTCTGTAAAAGAATAATTTCTGAGATAGGTTTCCTACCTATTTAAGTTAATCAATTGTCAGAAGCCTTAGGAAGTGACAGCGCATTCTCAAACCTGATTAGAATTAGAATTCTAGGTTCAGAGCAGAGGTGGTATTCAGCAGATTCTGATCAGTTCTGGAGAACCAATAGTGAAAATTTTGAGTAGTTCGGAGAAGCGGTAAATACCACCTCTGACTGGCTCCGCCCCCATCTATTCGCTGCCTCCCGAGTCCCAGCTGATCGGGAGGAAATGAGGATTTTGTAGTAACCTTCCCCTGCAATGGGGCGGGAATGGAGATTTTACAGAATCCTCCCCTTGCCACGCCCACCAGGCCACGGCGACCGCCACCAAGCCACGGCCACAAAACCGGTAGTAATATTTTTTGAATCCCACCACTGGTTCAGAGGCACATAGAAATAACTAAGTAATGGGAAGACCCTTTGCAAAAACATTTATCCCTTCCCTTGCTTTCTATTTACAGTAATTTTATTGTTTAATTACAATTGAAACAATTAAAAATAAATATAAACTGAAAAAGAAGAAAAAGAAAAATGTAGGGTGTGCAAAAAATAGAAAAAACATACTGAAGAAAAATAATAAATTATTTTTTGCCTTCATTGAAACTAGTAGAAACAATTTTAGTGAGTTATAAATTTCTCTTAAAATACAGCAAATTATTTATTCTTTCCATATTCCATCTCTTATCTATAAACAAACTCTAAAAACCTTATCATTTCAGTCCTGGTATCAGCAAAAGTACATTAAGGGTTACCAGCAGTGGCGGGTTTCAAAAAATTTTGGAACCTCTTCTGTAGGTGTCCCCTGCTTTCCGGGTCTACTGGTGGAACCTCTTCTAACCGGTTCGGTGGATTTGATGAACCGGTTCTACCGAATAGGTGCGAACTGGTAGGAACCCACCTCTGGTTACCAGAGGTAACAAATTATATATTTCAAATAAACCAACTTTATATTCCTCCTTTTTACTTCTAACACTTTTGATTTTTACTCCCTTCAAATAATGCCCTAGAAGT